GATACTTTGGCTTCCCAATATGAATGGAAAGCTAAACTACCAAAAAAAAGCTGACATGGCTGATGTAGTCACAACATCAACTGAATTTTGGAATTGGTTTAGAAATCAGGGAACACAGAGTTGTATAGTCTGATTTCAAAACTGAGGGGTCGCGTGGATAACCGCCGGCAGAATTTATTTACATCGCATTTCCTGCACTTTGATGACCCCAGTGCAAACAATACTTTCTTAATGAACAAGCAAGGGAAAAAATAATTTTTCTATCCTGTACTTTTGGTTTATGCAAATTTGCGTAGGATGTTTTTGGTTTTTGGCAGTACCCTATTCAAGAACTGCTGACTAAATTTAGTGAAATTCTTAAAAATGCCTAATTATGCATTTTTGCATATATACATATATAAATGCAACCCAGGCTGAAACGCACCAGGCTTGCCAGAGCGATCATGTGTTTCGGCACTAAACTCGCAGATCGCTAATCGCAGGAATGATTCCTGCGCTGTAACTTAACACTTGGGCTCGTGTTAGCCGTGCTCTGGCCTCTTCTAGAATGCAGCAGAAAGGGCGTTGGTTAGGATGAAAGTGTTGCATTATAATACAGCGTGGACCCTCAGGTACATGATTATCAGTTTTTTATACGTTTTTGCATATATGCATATTGCAAAAAAGTATATTGGGAAGAGGCTGTGTGTAAGTCTGTTTGTCTGTTCGCAATCTTTGTCACCCACTTTCAACTCGAGAACCAGAAAAGCTAGAAGGCTGAAACCTTAGGAGTGTGTACCCATCCATGCGCGACTCTCCCTTTTTAATTTCATCCCCCGCGTACGCTTGGGTGCCGCGCACAGACGCTTTAAAAAAAAAATATGCACATTTTTTGGCGGGAAAACGACCTCGGGAACCAGACAAGATAAGGGGCTGAAACTTAGTAGGAATATTCCCGGTGCACGTATTAGCTGAAGTTCTCAAATTCAGCCTCCAGATACGAGAGATACTCATGTAAAAGCGTATGGAAGTTTTAGCGGGAAAATTGTTAACTCGGGAACCAGGAAAGCTAGAAAACTGAAATTTTGGGGTAAACTTAAATATTTCAAATTCAGCTCCCAGGCAGGCGTGTTTCTCACATAGTGATACGTTTTTTTGGCGGGAAAATTGCTAGCCTGAGAATTAGAACGGCTAGGTCATTTTCAGTGAACGACCACTCAACGAAATTTATTCATTCTCTTTTATGAATGATTTACCGTGATTTATGGCAATGGTTTTGCGTGAGTTAATTGTAAAGCAACAGTATTCATACAGTTAACGAACTGACTGCTTCAAGTTTGACACAAGCACGCATGCAGCTCCGGCAAGCTTGGTATGTTGCGGCCTGGGTTTTGATTCGGAAAAATCGGGAATGTACTGATGGTTGGTTGAGAATTCAATAAATCATCAGTGTGACGGTGCTATTTTAGGTTATTGGTACGGAAATTCTCGATCAAGAA